ACTGTACATAATATTGATTTATTGTTTCTTGCATCATAATAACGCAATATTCACTATTCATCATTTACTTCTATTTTTATTTTTTCTACTCCCTTTAAATTTTATCGAGTGCAAAACAACAGAAAACTATATACAGGGTGGTTGAAAACGAAACAGACATTTAAGAAAAAACAACAAATTTAGAACATTTTCTGGTTTCAAATGCAAATTAAAACCAAAAGTACAATCTCTGACTGGATCTGTATAACTATTTATTTGCTCCAAATCTCCAAATATGGTTGTTTTATTGGTAAACGCAAACTTTAACATATGTTGAGACTACGTTTGATTGAGTTTGATTGAAAAAAAGTAAAAAGTCGCGGAAATGAAAATTAAATTTGACACCCACTGACTGTTTTATTGATATTTCAAAGAACAAGCCACAAGGATTCGCATTTGGTACAAATTTAGATCATTACTTACCTGGTTTTAAATGCAAAACTGAACATTCAAGAGTACTGGACAGACTTTGATTGAAAAGAAGTAAAAAATCACGGAAAATATCGTTGAGATGCAATCTTACGTCAATTTAGGACAGTTTCAGTAGATATTGCAATGCAAAAAGCGTCGATTTTTGATTAAATGGGGAACCATTTTTTTGGAATTTTTACCCCCTGAAGGACAAAGTCCTAGCGGGGTCGACAAAGCCCTCAAAATTTTAAATGGACTTGGGGGTCGAGGAATACCTTATTCTGAAGGTATTTTTATATATATTATAACCACCAAGTTTTAATCGCTACTATCTACCTAGCCATTACAGGGGACTAATTAAAGTTACAAAAACATGTTGGAATATTGTTGACCTCTGACTTGAATGATACAAATTTTGTTCAAACCGGTCTTGTATATTTTGAAGTATTTGTGGGGTGATTTTGATTTGACGACATTCATGAACTATTCGTTGTCGCAAGTCTTCCAAAGATATTGGCTGGGTCGCATACATTTTAGTTTTTAAATTTAAAGCTACAAAAGTGGCTAGTTTAGTTCATGTTTTTCAACTTTCAAAATCCAACACTGAGTGCAAGGAAATATTCACTTGTCCGGCCTGGCATCAAAAGAAGCAGCATTCAGGTGATATTAAAAAAAAACACAAAATCCATCCCTATAAAATATACCTTGTACATGAACTTAACGAAGACGATTTTGATAGGCGATTGCAATTTTGTGAAACTATAACTGAAGATGCCATAAATGAGCAGCAGTTTATTTTCAATGTATGTGTTTCTCTGACGAATACTCTTTTTTTTTAAACGGTACGGTGAATCGTCATCACTGCCGCTATTGGGTTAATTCAAATCCCAGAATATTTCGTGAGGTGCCTACGCAACGTCCCGAAAAATTGAATGTTTGGGGTGGTATTTTTGGTAACCCTTTAATAGGCTCATTTTTTTACCTGAAAAGAACATCTCGCACTTCTTATGGATTTCGGTTACCGACAGATTTTGTTGAAAGTATAGTATATTATTTTGGAAGTTGAAATAAGTATTTTCTTTAATTGCACCGACCTTGCAGCGATACAGGGTGATACTAAAATATTAGGTCAAAGATTTTCAATTTTTATTACTGTGAAATATTGTAATTTGATTTTCGTAGATAAAATCAGTCAATTTTTTCATTTTCCATAAAAGTGATATTATTTTAATTTCTAGCATGTACAGGGTGTCCCATTTTGGTTGCTATTAGAGTTGGAAGGATGTGGTTTTCGCGAACGTTGGCTACTTTTTTGCTAAACGAAGGATGCCGTCAACCCTGACCGTCAACCATACTGACCATACTGTCATCGCCCTTTTTGTTTTTTCAGATACAAGTTGTTTTTGAAAATGTTGCATTTTGGAACACCCTTGTATCTCGATTCTCTCATAACTTATCGAAGAGGTGACAATAGGTAGATCATCTTACGTAGATTTCAGTGGTGGAACCAGTTTGGGAGGTGATAGTAGTTCTTAAATTATGAGCCAAATATATGTTTTTTTCACAAAAGACACGCTGTATATCAATAACCCATCATGGGCTGCTTTTGCTGATTTCGATGATAGATTCAACACACAACAAACTGCGCATCATTTGTCATCGCTCGGATCGACAGGGGGAGCCACTGACGCGGCCCACCGTTGATTAATGGGTTGCGTGTCGGCCTTAACAGAAAACTGACGGGCACGACAATAAGTTATCGAAAGGATATTAATGGAAGTTTTCGGTGGGAGATGTTCACTGTAAAGTAATTAGCTGAGATTAAAAAAAGCATTGGACTTTTTCTAGTCTAGTCTAGTTGAAAATGCTATCGTATGCAACTTGAGAGTATTATTAATACATGAAAGCATCATGTACCTATATGGAACTTGTACAACGATGTATTGGTGAAATTTTTTTTAATCTGTTTTCGTCGTTGAAAACAATGTGTTACAAAGAGACTTTCCTCATGTTCCTTACAGATATAAAGTCCCCTTCTAACACATTGTTCTTATGACGAAAACAGACATATTAGAGATAACTTTATATCATTGCAATCAGCAGAAGCAGAGCTATCCAATGAGTTATTGTTATACAGGGTCTCTCATTTGAAAAAAAAAAAAACGTATGTTTGGTTCAAAATTCAAAAACTATCACTTCTAGAGAAAAGCTGATTTCGCCTGGAATCTACGTAGAAAGATTTATAAGACCCCTTGTCACATTTTTGATTAGTTATCAGAAAATCAAGATACAAAGGTTGTTTCGAAATGCAACAAAATGGAACATCCTGTACAGGGTGGTTCAATTTTGACATTTTCAATCGAAAAGCTTCATAACTTTTTCATCTATGGAGATAATTGAGTCGTTTTTTAACACAAAGGTTCTTATGACGAACACGGATTTTAATTCTATGCTCAAAAACTGGTAAACATAAAAGTATCGAACTTTATATTATTGAAATCAGCAAAAGCAGAGCTATCCAATGAGTTATTAAATAATACGGTGTTCTATTCAAAAATATCGTACTGGTTAATATCTCGAAATTCTGGCGAAATACCAAAAAAACTGAAAATGTCATTAGATTCTGGTTACAAAAAAAAATTCACCAACGTTTTTACGGAAATCAATTATTTTCATAAATCAAAAAGTTATGAAACTTCTTCTATTAAAAGTGTCCAAATTGGACCACCATGTACATGTTAGAAATTGAAATAATATCACTTTTATGGAACATGTATTGTCTTTATTCAAAAAAAAGTTAAATTACAATATTTAAAAAAAACCTTTGACCTTATGTTTTAGTATCACCCTGTATCGCTACAAGGTTGGTGCATTGGAAGAAAATGCTTATTTCGACTTCCACCAAAATAATATACCTACTAAAATTTCAACAAAATCTGTCGGTGACTGAAATCCATAAGAAGTGTGAGATGTTCTTTAATAGGAGAAATGTAATATACCTAAAATTATTAGAAGATGCGATTTATCTAGCATTAGTGGAGATATTAGATAATGATAACGGATACATGGAAAACCGCCAAAACCGGCTAATATTCCAACAAGAGCCCCCCCACTATGCTGCAGTGGTTCGTCAATATTTAGACCAAACATTTTCAGGACAATGAATTCGAAGTAGAGGAGCTATTGAGTGGCATCCACGTTTTTCAGATTTAGGCCCGTTAGATTTTTTCTGAAGGTGTCATTTAAAAACTAAAGTTTTTGCGACCCAGCCAATATCTTTGGAAGACCTTCAACAACGAATATTTTATGAATGTCGTCAAATCACCCCACAAATACTTCAAAAGGTATGAGAGTGGTTCGAACAAAATTTGTAACATTGTATAGAAGTCGGAGGTCAACATTTTCAGCATTTACTTGATACATTAATTTTGGTTTTAAGGCATTTTTCAAATACAAAATATCCTAACATGTTTTTGTAACTTCAATTAGCTCCTGTAATGGCTAAGTAGATAGTAGCGATGTGAAACTCGGTGGTTATAATCTACATAAAAATACCTTCAGAATAAGGTATTACTTGACACCTATTTTCATTTAAAATTTTGGGAGCCAGGTCCCTTATCGACCCCATTAATGAAAAATCGCACTTTTTTCAATGCATCTACTGAAACTGCCATTCAAACAAAATCTGTCCAGTACTCTTGAGTGTTCAGATTTGCATTTAAAACCAGATACCTAAGTAATGATCTCAATTTGTACCAAATGTCAACCAATCTGAACCAATTGTTCTATTGAAATATCAACAAAACAGTCCTAATGAGTGTCAAATTTAATTTTATTTACATTTCCACGACTTTTTACTTCTTTCCAATCAAAATCTATCATAGTTATAGGTATATATACCTTAACTATAGTTAAAATGTGCTAAAGTTTGCGTTTAATAATAAAACAACCATATTTAGAGCAAATAAATAGTTATACAGATCCATTCAGAGATGTACTTTTGTTTTGATTTGCATTTGAAACTAGAAAATGTTCTAAATCCGGCTCTCTTAGAAGGATCCAGTTGATACATCATCGACAATCCCCTGGATTTGAAAGTTGTACAAAGAAAGATAAATTACAAAATTGACTGGTTCAACCTTAGTATAGGTGAATTAAATATTACTAAGAGTTGGAAGACTTAAAGTGAACAGCAAATGCCTCATCCATACTTTCAAATCAAATCAAATTACCTACATAAATTTTTTCACCATAGAGGATGGCTGAAGTAGGAATGATTCTTTTGTTCATTGAGGATGTACTTGAACTTGATTTTAGCAAAACTCCTCCCTCCACACGCTAAGGTTTGTTTGTTTGTGTTGTTCGGGGCAGCACTTCCTGCTTTGGGGCATTCGTTTATAAGCGTTTTATATATGGATTATCTGCCATAATCTGAAATATTACAGTTTAGTTCAAGTTAGTGCAACACAAACAAATAAGCCTTTAAAGTTATTCTAGTGTAAGGTATTTCAACCTACTTCCAACAACTAAAATATGATTTTTTTTTTCAGGTACGATAACTTCAACCGGCTCAGACCAACCCTCCGACTCTTCGCTCTGGCGAATAATGAGCAAACGCTCGTTGCAATGCGTCTTTTGCGGCATAGGCTTCCCAGATCAGACGCTGTATTTTCTCCACAAGGGCTGCCATTCGGACGCCAATCCCTGGAAGTGCAACATTTGCGGAGAACAATGCTGCAACGTCTACGAATTTAATTCGCATCTGTTGAGTAAGAGTCATCAGTGACAATGAATGGATTGAGGGGTTTTCCTTTTATTTTGCAAATTTTATTTAGAAAAATTATTGTTAAAATATGTACCTAAAACTCTCTTTGACCGCATCTGAACGATGATTTTTTTTTTCCCAAATTGTCTGGAGAGTTGGTTTCTTAATGTGTCCACAAAATAATAGTCTTTTTCAGTTTGCATATTGAGTTCCATCGTTTCAGTTCAACTTTTTTAATGCTTCCAATGCTTTCTTACCAGCTCAACTTAGTATACAACATTTTTCAACTTTTTTTGATTCTTGTTACTCAGCAAATGATATAATTTATTTGAAGACCTGTCTTTTAAAATCACTATTTGGTTTGTATTACGGGCTGGCATACATTTGTATGCCAGCAACTTTTGTTTAAAATGTTTTAATTCAGAAATCATAATCTCCATTTGTAAATTACTATATCACATTCCTCCATCTTCTGTGATTCCTACTGATAGTTGATTTGCTTGAGTTTAGTGAGTAGGTAGTTAATTATTTCAGTTAAATTAAAATAGGTACCTTTTAGAATAGCTAGACTGATCATTTTTGAAATTAGCAATATTTTACTAAGTAATTTAGTAAAAAAATTCAAATTTTTTTCTTATGAATCATATCATCGCAAAATTATGTATAGTCTGTCTAAAAATTAACTATGCATAATTCCCCAACTGAAAATTTTAACGAAAATATTGTTAGTCATTTGTGGTTAGTGAATTGTTAACCATGAATATTTGTAACTAAAAAAGTTACTAAATTAGATTAAAATTAGACCATGTATGGGAGTTATTATTGTTAAATTTATTATTTAAAAATGGATTTATTTCATACTGTATTGTAAACAACACCTACTGGGTCCGGTAAAATTGTCGGACTGAAATGTCAAATTGAATTAATTTTGAGACAGACTATATAAAATCTGTTTTCTTTTTAAAGATAAAAGTCAAAATGACATTCTGTTGGCAATACAATGTAAAATTGTCAATGCTTTCGATTTTTTTATGTAGAAAATGCTTGTGCTGCCAACATAGTTACTATATTTTTAACTTGGGGAATTATCTTTAAAGAAAAAACAGACTTTAGGTATAGATAAAATTGACATCAAGTGGATTTGAAATCTTAGTGTATATAAGTTTTAGTAAGAGTTTAAATTAGGGATAAAAATGTATCTTGGTTGAGATAATTAATTCATTCCTAATCTAAATTCAATTTGCATGAAAAAAAAAATTCTCAAAAAAAGTTAGTGATAAATTTCCTTCCTATTTGTTAAGTTATTGGTAGCACTTGCAAAATTATTTAGTGCCTTATAGTGATAATTCGAGAAAATACTTTACATTCCATTGTTAAAGCATTGATTTTATTGAAGTTTTTATTACTTGTTAAATTTTTGTAACAAATGTGTATGATCTATATGTATACCTAATTGTTCATGATTTTATGCAATAGGCCTTCCTATAAGGTCCAGCTCAAAGAAGCTCAATTTTTTTATTGTGACCAAAGGCCAACTGCCTTCAAATTTGGCAGCTTGATTGTATTTTTTTTTCAAATAAATATTGTCAATAATAAAAAGTGCCTGAAAATTACTAAATTGTAATATGTAATAAGCATATTAAAATGAAACAATATCCGTCCAAAAAAACTAATATATTGTTGAAAATTAAATATTTACATATACAGTTTATATTATAGAGTTTCCTTATACATAGTAGCTTTTAAGAATAAATTGTTAAATGCAAATTTAGAATTAAAATAATTGTACATTTGTAATTATGGAAAAATCCTAAAATGTTATATTTGTAAATATTTTTAAACAACCCTCATAAATACATAAAAATATATCTGTGGCTTCGTCGAAAAAAGGCCTATCTAACAAAATCAAGTTTTGAGATAATCGAGGATTTGTATGAAAACTTGAAATGCTTATTACTTCATTGTTACTTTTCCGAATTTAATAAAATTTTGGTAGAGTCTACTAAAAAGCAGAATTATTCATGTACTTAATGAATTTATTTTTTAAAAATCTTTTACTTTTAACATACTTTTGATTGTTAGGCCCTTGCATTTTTTTATCAATGTACATAAGCCCTAATTGTGATAGGTGACAAGTAGCATTTGGGACCCAAAAAGTGTGACTTAGGCCTTATTGTTAGTAAGAACGGTACTTAGGCCGTTTTTACTTCACTTGAAACGTTTTTTCTTTTTTTTTTTTCAAGCTGCTATTATTCGAAATTTGACTGAAAATGAAATTTATTACAATTTTTAAAGAAAAATAGAAAAAAAATCTGAAAAAAGTTAAATAAAAAAGGCAAACACTTCTATTATTCTTCATATTCTACTGAACCTGCTTGTTATATCCCACACTTTAAATTCTTCTTCTGACATTTGAACCTAGACGACTAAAGAATAATTCATATCTATGTTCCAGTTAGGCCTGCTTTTGTTTTTAGCGGTAAAATTGAAAAGGCCCTAAGTAAATATAGAACCAAAATTGTAAAATTAAATTTTATCTAAGTTGCAGATAGGCCCTATAGGGAAAAAGCAGATAGAATGTTAAAAAGACCTAAGAGCACATAGACCAAATTTTTTTAGGCCTATCAACCACTTATGCCCGTTTGAGTTTTTACACTTTATTCTTATAGGTAGATAAAACCAATGAAAATGGGTCTTAACTGAACATAGGTCTTTATATGGATTATAACTTTTACACTTAGGTCCTTTTTACATTAAAATTTTGATAACCTAAGAGTTTTATTCGCTCAGGACCTTTTTCATTTTAAAGAGCACTATTTATTTGGTTAGTTAGGCCCAATAGCTCATTTTTTGAAAATTTGCACTTAGGCCCTTTTTCGACCAAGCCACAGATATAACTATTAGATGGCTTTTTTGCATATTATAGTTTTTATTGCAAGTTGTTCACTAGGGTTATTTAATAATATCTAAGTTTGACAGGATGAGTATAACTTTACATAGTTGAAATTATTTTTCCTAGTTATTTTTTATTATGTCAACATTAATGGATAATCAAAATTCCAATAGTTTGAGACATCATTTCTGATTTTTCGGTTATTTTTAGCACACATTCCACAAATTTAGAAAATTTATATATATTTCTTTTTTATATTATTTTATTTATTTATTTTTTTGTTAGATATTTGGTGCAATACACTATATTATAATTATAGTATACATACATTTAGCTCTAATAACTTTGTTAGACATTCCATGTACTTTTGTAATACTTATCTATTGTTATTATTACACATTTTGTAGCTACATTATACATACCATATTTATTTTTTATTTATCAGTTCATTTTGTTGTAAAGATAGGTATCGATTCTTAGTTTTTTTGGTGGAAGGGTTAAATAAAGTTTTGATTATATTTTTAAAACATGTTTTTATTTGATTCCAAGTTTTAAAAAATTATTCTAACTCATAAATGTGTAAACAATAGAGAAATTGGACATTTATACTGCCGTACTAAGTGGACAGTACGTGCAGTCAGCCAGCCCTGAGCTCGAGAGACCCAATAATCAAGCGGTCTTTCACTCAATAGGAGGTAACCGGCTATAACTCACAACTCAGGAACTAGTAGTCCTAGAGCTTCCAAGTAAAATTTTTTCTCATAAAAGAGGACAAGAAAAATTGCTGGAAATAGTTTTCAAGTTTGTAAGTTGACCGCTAGGGAACGCAACGGACACTTGAAAACATAATACTGTGAATATCTTCAAAAACGTCCACTAACAGTATTCTGAAAAAATTATTATTGAAATCTTGATGAGATTACGAAAAAATGTTGTTAAGGATTTTTGGCCCTAACTCTTCAAATAAGAGGTGGGGGAAGGTTCAAACTTGTTTTTTTTTTTTTTTTTTTTTTTTACGGATATGCGCACTCGCAAGGAAATGTCCTATCACGCTCGAGAAGCGGAAAGTGCGCGGAAATGTCGGTGTATGTTGGTCTTGAAACGGTTCAGGTTGTAACCTGCAAGGAAAACCGTCGCAGGGAGTTTATTCCACAGCGATGCTGTTCTCCAGAGATATGAATTCTGATATAATGAGGTTCTTGGTGCCTCTAGTTTGACAGTAAATTCATGGTTACCGTCTGTTTGACGGGTTCGCCTGGTAGGTGCTACTCTCGGTGGAATCATACGTGCCAACTCTTCAGAGCATTTTCCGTGATAGTACCTGTAGAAGAGAGATAAATCGCCCACAGATCTGCGATGTTCGAGACCATCCAAGTTACGAGTAAGTGCGGGGTCATTGATCAGCTTGATAGCTCGTTTTTGCACGGTATTCAAAAGCATTAAGGTATGTTTGGGTGCTGCACTCCATATATGTGAGCAGTAATCCATAGTTGGTCGAATCTGGGCTTTGTAGAGTGTCAGCAATTGGCTTGGTGTGTACAGATGTCTTGTACGAAATAGCACCCCCAGCTTTTGGGAGGCCTTTTTAGCAATATATGCCACGTGACTGTGCCAAGACATGTTGGTCTCTGCAGTAACCCCCAAGATGTTCAACTGACTCTGTAATGTGACAGCACTTCCAGATAGCATGATGTTTGGCTCACCGGTGCTGGTCTTTTTTGAAAACAGAGCTGCTTGGGTTTTCTGCGCGTTGAAATGTACAAGGTTTTTGTTACCCCAGTCCTCTATTATCTCCAGGTCGTTATTTATCTGCGATATTTGAGTTAGTCTAAGATGATGGAATTCACGTGCGGAAAGACCTGTGGGTGGTATGAGTGAGGAGACTACATTGCCATCGTCTGCAAAGCAATAAAGTGGATTTACTGTTTTATCTATGAGGTCATTTATGTAAATCAGAAAAAGGGTTGGCGAAAGGATTGCTCCCTGTGGCACACCAGCATTTATTTGGTAAGAGTTGGAGTTCTGGCCATCCAGTGCAACATAAATGGATCTGTCCTTTAGGTAACTTTCAAACCAAGTGCAAAGTTTCGGCGATAATCCCATTGCTTTGAGCTTGTTGAGCAGATTTTCATGCCAAACTTTGTCGAATGCTTTAGATATATCTAAGGCAATTGTTCTTGTTTCACCCCGCAACTCAATCGCTTTTTGCCATAAGTGAGTGACGTATGTAAGTAAATCGCCAGTTAACCTATATTTTCGAAATCCGTATTGCTTATCGTTGATAATTTTGTACTTTTCCAAGTACTTGGTTAGGTGATTGTTCACAACTCTTTCCATTACTTTTGATATCACCGGAAGTAGAGCAATTGGTCTATAGTTTAACGGATCTGTCTTTTTTCCTTTCTTTGGAATGGGTTGTACTGCGGCAGACTTCCATGATGATGGATATACTCCTTGCCTGTAAGACAAATTGAATAATTTTGCGAAAGTTGGGGTGAGTTCGTTGGCGCAATTTTTGAGTACTATTGCGGGAATGCCATCCGGACCCATTGCTTTGTTTGTATCCAGCTTTATTAGGGATTTTCGTATTTCTCTGTGACAAAAGGGTACCTCTGGCATACTATGGGAAACCCTTTCAATTGACGGTGGAGTTTTTCCGTTTGGCACTGTTAGGTTGGAGTTGGAGGAAAACATTTGGGCAAGCATATTGGCTTTTTCCTCTGATGTTGTGGCTAAGTGATTATTTTTATCTGTAAGTGGTGGTATGGATGACTTGGTGAAGTTAGATCCAACAGCTTTTGCAAGAGACCAAAAAAACCTAGAACTACTTGGACAATTCAGCAACCTGTTTTTTATTCTTTGATTGTATGTTTCTTTAGCGGAGTCAATAGTAATTTTGCAACTATTTCTGGCTTCTATAAATTCTGTGTGGTTTTGAGCGGTTTGTTGTCGTTTCCAAAGGTTATATGCTCTGTGTTTTTTCTGTACAGCCCTTTGACACTGACTGTTGAACCAAGGTTTTGCATTAGCTCTACGTTTAGTTGTATGTGGGATATATGCGTCCATTCCAGATAAGATTACTTGTGTTATTTCATTACAGCAAATAGTGGGATCAGCTGTTTTAAAGCAAACCTCTTGCCATGGAAAATGCAGGTAAAACTGTTTTAGGTCATTCCATTTTGCCGATTTATAGTGCCACATTTTACGAGGAAGTGGTTGTAGGCTTGGTGGGATGAGCATTTCGCACTTTGTTATTATAAGTTTATGATCGGACGAACCAAGTGGAGCATCTACTTGAATTGTGTACGTGTCAGGATTGGTGGTTAGGAACAAGTCTAAAAGCGCTGCAAATTCGCCCCTTTCTGAGATACGGGTAGGTTCATCGACAAGCTGCGTTAGACCACAACTTATGGCAAAAGCTTCTGCTTCTCTGCCTTCGTTATCTGTTTTGTTGTGGTGTTTCAGCCAGGGTATATTGTGGACGTTGAAATCGCCTAAAAAGACAATTTCCGCCTGTGGATAGTTTGATTGTATACTATCACAGCTTTCGGATAATGTCGCGAAAAAGTTTTGGTAATCGGTGTTACTTGGCGGTCGGTAGAGGCAGCAGATAAACTTGGTCGATGACTTTGAGGTGAATTTTAGCCATATGATATCAAGATTCGCTGGTTCTAGCTTCTCCTCTCGATGACATGAAAGGTCATTTTTAATATACACACAGATCCCAAAATTATGTCGAAATCGGTGGTGTAGGTCATAGCCGGGATAAAGATAGTTCACAATAGGTGTTGCAGAACTGATTTTAGTTTCAGTGAGAACAAGGATGTCAGGTCTTTGTTCTTCAAGATGTTGGTGAACTGAATTCATATTTGTACTTATTCCTCTTATATTGCTAAAATCAATTCTGAGTTGAGTTTTTGATCTTCTCTTTATATCTTTGCATGAAGGACCCCCAGGATCACCCGACGCCCGGAGATCCGAGTGGTCGGGTATTTTACCTCCGGAATATTTTGATCCTGGAGGCGCCATCATGCTGAGTTCTTCTATTTCACAAGTCGTACCAGCACTGCTTTTGGATTTTACATTACCAGGATTTTAATTTTACTTTTTCAACTTAGTTTTTACTGGCACTGAAGCTCTGAGCACATAACCTGTTGATTTTTTACTAGTTTTTACTTTTATTTTAGGTTTAATTTATAATAAAGAACAATTTTAATTTCAAGCAATATGCCTGTTTATTATTATTTTTACATCCCCTCACATAACCTCACTCATCTCGAGTAAAACAAAAATATTGACTTCGACTATCAATTCTAGTAGATGCTGAATACCCAACCTTAAAATTTATATTTTTTGGTTTTATTTTTCTCAACATGCCCTAACTTGACTGTCAAAAAATAATAGAAATCTTCATTTGGTTAAATTGTGTGATGGAAAGCTTTTTCTTTTTTTGGCGGAAATTCGAAGTATTATTCTGTTTTGCATAAACAGGGTTGTAGTTTCGACTAACGCAAATAATTTTGAACGTTCATCCGTCGGATTTTTTTCTAAACAGTGTAGCTACGGGCGTATTTCTAACTATTTTTGCAGTAGCGAGAAAACTACAAGTTCAAAAAATTTGGAAAAAATATATGTCGCGTAGAATTGCAAAAGTAGTTCGTAATAAAAATAATGGGAAACTTCATCTATTCGTTTTGAAGTAAATTGTGAAAAACTACTTTTTCTACAAACGTCACTAAAAGTGTCATTTTTAACGGATGCTGTCAGTGTCTAAAATGCCATTTTATGACACTGGTGTTAAAAGTGATTACTTTTAGCACTAGTGCTAAAAGTAATCACTTTTAGTGCGTTTGTAGAAAAAAAAGTGTATGATATTCGTGCTAAAAGTGATTTTATTTTGTTCAAAGGGATGGAACACTCCGCCTTCGGCGTCGTGTCCCAAACTTCCCTTTTCACAAAATAAAATGTCACTTTTAGCACTTATATCATAAATAACTATTTTTTTTCAGGTTTTGCGATATAACTCAAAAATGGCGAGTCAAATTTGCTTAAAAAAATTAAGGATTAAAGTATATCGATAACCATAAAGCATATATTTTTTTTGGAATTTTTGAACACAAGGTTCAGAAAATAGGGGTTGACTTTAAACCTTAAGCAGTTTTCTTTCCATATTCGGACACTATTAAGTCAGTATACAGTCCTCTAAACATAAATATGTTACATGGAAATAAGTGCCTAGCTCATCAACCACAATAATATCTCAACTATTATTTTTTGTAGATTGCGACGACACTTTAATGGAACTAGCCCAAGAACCAAATACTTCTGCACAAAACCAATTAGAAGAAAAAATAAAAAGTATTAAATTTTCTTTGAAACTTGCCCATAAAGGAAGACCCAAGGGACATCAATTAACTGCAATTGGACTGAAAAGGTCTAAGAAAAATAAAAGTGTTTTATTTAAAAATAAAGTTCCTAAACTGAGGCACCAGATGATGCTTAATGCAATTTTTAATACAGAAGATTTGGTGAACAAAGCATTACACAAAAATTTTAAAATTGAGAAAGAAAACATTCCTCATCATCAACAAATTGATCCACTTCTTCTTGAAGAAGAAATATCTTTAGCAGAAATAGAAGCATATTTTTGTCCGGATTCTTATGTTTTATTACAAAAACGAATTGAAGAAAAAGAAAATAGTATTCTGAAATGGATTTGTGATATATGTAACAAAGTGATACCTATACATGAAGATTGCTGATTCATGTTTTCGGTGGAAACATAAAGTGTGCTTTTCAGTAACA